TTCATAAATATCCAGGATAGTTAAAAAGACTATTAATCTATTATGGAGTAAGTCTACAATCCTACAGATATAATTTCTATAGTCCAATTTAAAGTACACAAGAGGAAGGTCGTATATTTTTAAATGTTTTACAAGAAACTCTTGTAGATATTAGTGCAAAGCCTGAATTGTTATTGTTCATTGTATCTTTCTTATAAATGAAAATACTTTCTTCTTTCTATATCTCAAGACAGAATTAAGAACTGAGGGAATTCCCTGGTGGTCCAGTGGCTAGGACTCGGCACTTTCACTGCCGTGGGCCTGGGTTCAATCCCTGGTTGGGGAACTAAGATCCTGCAAGCCACGCAAAAAGAATTAAGAACTGAGAGCCACTGAAGAGAAGTGTCAGACTGGAGGAAAGAGCAGGGCTATGTGGCTTAGCTCCAGGCTAAAATTGAATAAAATAAAATTAAAAGAAATATATTTTCCAAGCTAACATAACTTTAAAATTTAACAAAATGAATAGTTTCCAAACAGAATATGTTGGGATCATGACTCATTTTCTTAATTTTCTTAATTTGCTGCATAAAAAAAAATCGTTTGCCATAATTACTTGTATATTTTAATATATTTTAAAGGACTGAAATAACTCTGACATGTTAGTTTTTTGTTTTTTTTTTAATTCCTAAGAGGAAGTATAATTTTAAGGGCATTAGCCTATATGACCCTAGAAATGAGTATTAATTCCAACGATGTGTCTATGAGGACTTTATGAGAACTAAAGAGAATAGGCTAAGGGTTTAGTTTTAAACACTGGTATTAATGGGCTGGATTGGACTAAAGGTACAGATAATACTACACAGAATATTAGAGCTAGGCTTGGTTTAAAAAAAAAAAAACCAAACTATTGTTCACTTATTACTGCTACCACATAAGTTTGTGGTGGCTTTAACTTCAGAGCCCAATTTATGATGCACATTTTACAGAAATCTTGTTTAAGACTGTGTCAATATTTCACCACTACCTAATATGGTCATGACAATTAGGAAAACAACGGGCCTGATTTTTATATAATCAAATTTATTATTATTTATTTTTATTTATTTATTATTTATTATTATTCCTGCAGGAATAAAATAATATTTAAAGTATCTAAACAAATAGTCTTTGCTAGGATACTCAAAAGCTCACCATAGGTGAAAAACCTATTTAAAAATAATTTATAAATTGTATGTAATACGATGATTGATTTCAAGCAATTGATTTCAAGCAATTGATTGTATGATTTCAAGCAATTTCCCAAACGAGATGTGTGTGTGTGTGTGTGTGTGCGCGCGCGCACGTGCTATCCATGTCTTTCTATTTTTCTTCCTAATTTATCTGGATGGAGCCAATTTAATTAATTTATCTAGACAGAGCCTGTAAAATTTATCTAATTTATCTAGATGGAGCCTATAAAAGTAAAAGGTATATTACAAGCTTGTTAGTGAAGAAACTGACAATCCTAAAATACCATTTGAAAAATACTATGTAAAGTAAATTATCAAACCAGATTTAAAGAGTCACTGAGGAATCTCCCTATATGGTTTGCAGTCAGATAGAACCAAGTTAAAATCTTGACTCTCTCTTTTACTAATCTCGGGCAGTTATCTCACATTGTTGACTTAGTTTTCCTTGTCTGTAATGTGCAGATACTACTTTAGAATAGTTTTGAGGATAAAGTGAAACTGTGTAAGTAAAGCAGCCACCATGGTATCTTGGACAAACTTGGCACTCAATAAATGGCTGCTGTTTTGTATTTTTTTCTGATACAGACTTAGATACCACTTAAATTGAACGTGTCTAGTTATTCCTTTAGCATTAAGGTCATATTAAGATGTTTTTTTGGTTTCTATATTGCTGAATTTCCATGGTTAAGTTTTTCCATAGTTGAACAAGCTTAGACCTTTCAAAGTCTTCTCCTAGGTTATATCCTCAATAGTTCACTCTAAAACTCTGATTTCCATGAAAATGTCAACATCTTTTCCAAATATAGAACTCAAAACAGGACACTAAAGCACCACAAGAGAAGAAGATGGTAACATGTGGGTTCCTGTCTCCATGATCAATTGCTTTCTGTATCACTGAGTATTTCATGCACTTCTAGTCCTCTTAGCTGTTGATGTTAGGGTTCTTCACTGATTCTAACTACCATGGTCTTTTTGATAATCATCTCCAGATATTGACTTCACTCTAGATAGTACAATGAAACTGCTAGTATAAATGAAGTTGACAAGGCCAATTGCTGTGATGTGGAGTACAGGATCAAAAAAGGAAAACTCAAGTCTCAGCTATGGTTTATTAGATCTAGCCTTGGAAAAGTGAACATTTCTATCATCTTTGGCTCTCCAGTTTGTAAAATCAGAATAATAACCATGCAGGTGATTATAAGAATCAAATAATGTATGTAAAAATCTTTATATATTTTAGTTGTTAAATATGTATTGCCATTATGAATACCAGGGTATAAACTCTCTTTCTTGATGATCTCATTTATCCTTGTGTCCTGAGCACAGTTCTCAGACTATTAAAGATGCTTAACATTTCTTTATAGAATGGAAGAAGAATTTCAACTGCAATTTCCCAGTACATAGCTTAGAATGGAACATGGAAGGGCGTACACAAATGCATGTTGTATAGATATAAGGATCTATGTTGTATAGATCAAGATGCTAGCAATTTGGAATACCACTTCATTATTCATTTCTTTCTAATAGTTTAATAGTAACATGGTAAAGGCAATAGTGGCTCTTAATAAATAGTTCGTGAATAAATGAAAACATATATACATGCTTTTTGACTTCTAAGGTTGGCTAAAGGGTAAGACAACATCTGAGAAAAAAACAAACTCCATCTCCACTGCCCCCAATAATATAAGCTTCATGAACCAGGACATTCTAGAATTGCAACCAAAAGGTATATTAAGAATCTAGAAATAGACTTTTTAATAAAAGTCTTTGTAAATTAATTTGCTTATTCCTATAAGAGACCAAACCCTTTGTCTTCTCACAGACTATTGTCCATCCTCTTTTTACTATGCAGCCTAGTCCATATTTTAGTTTCCATTCGACTGAAATAAAAAATCCACTCTTATCTCCATAGTCTTAAGTGATGTTCTGGAATTCTATTGTCAATGATTATCAGCACAATCTTTTTGACCTTTTTTCAAGCACTGCCATATGTTGTGGTATCTACTATTGCTTCAAGCCATTTTTTGACCTTTACTTAAGGTAATATGCTCTTATACTTTCCTTCCAAAACCAGACTTTCACCTTTTTAAAGATATGGTGGTCCTCGTCCTCCACAGCTGCTTTGATCTGGTAGATACTACATAGTGCCATACGACTAACAAAACATAAACATGGGTCTCTGTTATCCTCTTATTCTTCTTGGCTTTTAATCTGAAACTTTCATTTCTGACCTATTCACAAACTTTTGTCCCTATTCTTTATTGATGACTGTTGCCCACAGAAGTGGTTTGCCAAATGGTTAACAGCGCAGACTCCAGAGCCAGACTGTCACTTTCTAGCTTTACGATCTGGCGGTTAATAATGCTATTGAGAGTAATGAATACATACACACACTCTTAAATGATGATATCCTTAGACTAGTGCCTGAAACTTAGCAAATGCTATATAAGTATTAGCTGTTATCATTGTCATCATCATTTCAATATGGGGGCCTCTGATAGCTACCACTTCCTCTAGGTCTGACCTCTGATTTTCCTTCTACACCAGCTGCTCACCAGTTACATCATGAGCTACCTAGCTATTCTTCACTTGGGTCCATCTCAAGAAGCTATACCTAAATACAGGCCTATAGCATACCCATCAGGCATGTCAACTCCTAAATTCCATGGCCTATGACTCAAAGTTGACACTTTGATTTTATTGATTTGTCTTTGATTTGAATCAGTTCTTATCACCATCTGAATTTTAAGAACTCTAGTATATTGAAGGAAAGGAGAAGTCATCCGAATATCTAAGAAAAAGCTAAAACCTTTTAATGAAGAATAAAGCTAATTCACTGTAATAATTCAAGAAGTGATTACTCAGATGAACATTTTAATTACACAAAAACAGAGAATGAACGTTTTTAGATACTAACTGACTCCAACTAAAATATTTATACTTACTGTACTTTGATTTAGAAGTTTTGCTTTGCTTTAAACAAAATTGCTATCCCAAAGACCCGTTAAAGAAGAGTACATTAATTGCTGTGCTGAACTAGTTCTTAAGTGAAAATGCATAAATGTTCATTTTAAGCTGGAACGTATGTTTTATTCCCTGAAACAGGAATAATGGAAACTTAATCTAAGCATTAAGCTATGTCTATAGTACCTTTTCTCAGTTACCCACTGTTGAAACGGAAATGATCAATAGATTTGCCTCACCAAAGTAAGTTCTTTCAAGGTTGTTCTTATGCAAGCGAGTCCAGCAGAATAAGAAAGAGGATCAAGAAGATTGTTAAAACAGAAAGTGAAAAACAGCAATAAATTTGATTTTAAAGCATACTGTATGAAATAAGCTTTCAGAGAAGAGTATGAGATTGAAAAATAGTAACTTTTTAGATCATACTTGTATAAATCTTTAAATTCCCTTTGGCATCAAAAAATGAGGTACAACTGAAAGTACAGATAACAATTGAGTGTGAAGGTATATTATTCATTTTAAAATGCCTTGGTCAGATAAAAGCACTTTCTAATACGAGACCCAAAGCAGAAGTTACAAGGGCAGATGCTGAGCGGCTACTGAGCTGCATCTTGCATAGGCAACTCTACAGCCTGCCCCAGGACAAGCAGAAGTAAGGCCAATCGATCAGGATGAGAAGGCGCAGGAGGCTGGGGAATGCCAGAAAAGTGTCACTTCCCTAAACTGATGTATAAATTATGCACAAAATAACTACTGTGATGCAAGTGATTTATACCAAGAATTAAAAACCCCTGTGGAGACTCATCATCTGTCAAGGAAAATGTTACTCACGGTGGTAACACAGTTCAGAACTCTAAGAGGCATTCGACACCAGCTCATCCAACTCCCGAACTATTAAGAGGAAAAAAGTAAGGCACCACAAGATATTCAGTGACTTGTCTTCAAATTATGTTTAATTCAAGTAACTGTATAACTGAACAGAAACTACAGAGAGTTCATTTTGGCCAAATATTGCCTTTTATTAATCAGTTTGAGATGCAAACACTCAAGAATATTGTAGAAAACATGGATTAAATGAATCCTTTTAGAATTAAGAAATTATAACAATGCTTTGACCACAAAAACTTTGAAGTAAAGATAGCTGCTCCTTACTCCTCTTTACAGATCTAAATTAAAAGGATCCTCTAATGTGAAGATTATTTTCCTGGAGGTGATTTAGAAAACACAGGCCATAATTCTGGTTCTTAAGAGGAAAAAAAAATAATCTTTTATTACATTTGGATGGGATTTTATTTTTTAGGAATCACTGCTTGGCTGTGAGTAGTTGTTGCTTGCTGAATGTTATTCACACTTCCTCCCTCATAGCAAGCTCATGTGTAACACTCTTAACTTGTGGGATGGGTTGGAACACTTCATTCTAATCCAAGGGCCATAGGTCATTTTCAACCACAAATTCTTCCTCCCTAGGGAAGTGTCAAGGGATGTGGTCTTTCCCATCTCGTTTTCCTACAACCTCCTTTAGTCTAAAATAAAGTTTATGTCACTAATGACCAGGCCTAAAATGTTATAATGCCTTATCTGGCAATTAATGTCAAGAAATCTTTTCCAGAACAGCACCTTAGGAATTTCAATTGTCTAGTTACAATAAGGCATAATGAAAGAATAAATATTTTATAGGGCTGACAGGAAGAAATTTTCTCCTCAAGATTATTTTGATAGCCTGGAGCAGGAGTTGACAAACGATTTTCTGTAAAGGGCCAGACAGCAAATATTTTAGGTTATGTGGGCCCCATGGTCTCTCTGAACTACTCAACTCTGCTGTTGCAGCATGAAACCAGCCAAAGAGTAGCACACAAATGAATGGATATGGCTGTTTCAATAAAGCTTTATTTATAAAAACAGCAAGCCAAATTTGACCCATGGGGTGTATCTGCAACCCCTTAATCTAGAACTTGTAATGATTCAAGAGAGTTTGAAACAAAACAATTTAATTTTAATAAAACATATTATGGCTGTTAAATATAAATCACTACAATTGGGGATACCTAGCTGATTCTCAGATAAACTGAGCGTATTTTAAAATCTTTTTAGGTTTTCCTGTTTACCCTTCTCTCTCTATTATACAAATTATAATGGAAATTTCTAAATTCATTAAAGAATGAGACAATTTCTATCAACTAATGAAAAGATTATGAGAACTGAGACTGCAAAACTTTGGCTTTTCAGTTTTATACTAAATTTGTGAACTCAATATAATAATTTTATTTTCTGGGTTTAACAAGATAGATCTTACAGAGGATTTTTTAATACTATCATTTAGAGCATCTATAAGAAAGGCACTTATAAGATAGTCACTGAAACAGATCCATTATTAATTTGAATAATTTTCCTGGTTGATCATTTCAAAAGCTCTCTTTGTTTGGATTTGATTACACTTAACCTTTGATTATTATTAGGACTTGAAGTAACAGTATAAGTACCATGTATCCAACTTAGTAAATAATTTAGGATGTAATTTCAGTGTAAATTATGATCCACATAATTAGTACATAGGTAGTATAGGTATAAGTAGCCCCTTTGTCCTAAGATGTTTAGACCAGATGAATATGAGTATTTACAAATTTCAGGGACATCCCTATTTATTTGATACAATAAAACCCTGGTAAATGGCATTTAAAAGTAAAACATTTTCTCAGTATAATTCTAATTTTAATCCTAGTATAATTCTAATTCTACTTCTAGTATAATTGTAATACTCAAAATGATTGGATCACTGATTAAAAACTTGTTGATTGTAGATACCCAGAAAAAGCAATGTTACCCTCTGTGGTGATTTGTAATTCTACTGCATTTAATATTGTAGAATAAATTATAAGTTATTTGAAAAGTTAAGCATTTCAGAATTTTCATTCTGTTTCTCTGTCTTTTAAAAGTAAAAGACTGAAGGAAAAAGATGTAGAGAAAAGAGTCTTCATTTCAGTCTTTTAGTGAATTTGTTAAGGGTAAAATGATATCAAAGCAAAGATTGGTTAGAACAAAAGACATATAAAGACAGAAACTAACACAACATTAGACTTCTTCTTACAAAGATTTTGGAAAACTTCAAGAGGGGATGATTACTTCACAGACTGGAATGTAAGCCCAGTTGGCACCAAGGTCTACAGGGCTTTTGAGGTGTCTAATGTTGAAAATCTCAAGTTGACTCTCTAGTTAAAAAAAGCTGGAGAGGAGAAAGGAAAATTTTTGTTCTGGAAAAGTGTTCTTGTCTGATGCAAACAGAAATCCATCTTACAAAGGAAGAAGTAGAGATGAGTTGTCCTAATTTAGTCTTTTGGAAGCAGAAAAAAAGATTATGAATTTGCTAAAAAAACCCTTTTGGTTCTTCTAAATATTACTTTATAAGTTATGAGATGTCTTTTCTGTGTGTGTGTGAAAAATTTCCAAGACCCCAAAATTCATAAAAATTAACTTGAAACACTGAAATCCATTTTGGAAAAGAATCAGAGTGTAGAGAATCTTAATTTTTAAAAAGTTATATAAAAAAGAGATCTAGTAGTTGGTTGGTGCTTTCGTTTCAAATATTTTATCCACTTTCCTTTTTTACAGCTTTTCTGTTTGGAGAGATGGAATATTCAAATATTAAAAGTATTCCACAATATGTATTATTTAAAAAACTCTCAAATCCCAAAGTGGTGGTAATAAACTTCCTATTAATATAGTGATTAAATCAGTTTTAATCTTCTGTGAATCTAGTAACAAGAATGGAACAAACTATTAGAATCATGTTGTAAACCTCAGAGGAAATAGAATGCCAAACGTTAATCTGAAAAGCACACTTTTAATTAGCAAAAAATAATGCTACTAGGCCTTTCTGTTTTTCTTCAATAATGTATATATATTGAGACCACACTCTAGCTGTTCTATTTTATTACATGTATTAACTCAGAGCTGTTCTGGAAGGCAGGTATTAAATTTATAGTTCTTAACATATAAAGGAACAAGCATAGAGAAGTGGAACTCTGGTGCACATAGAATGTAATATTGTCATGATTTTGTTGTTATTTAATGAACATTTCTAAACGTGATAACTAGTTTATGTAACATAAACAGATACTAATCCTTTAATATGATTGCAAGAACACAGATTAAATGGCAGAGTTCATTGTCAGTTCTCTTCAAGGGCTAATTTACCTCACACAGGGACCAGGTAACTCCTGTAAAGGCATTTCCTGCTCTCATTTTAAATGTTTCTTACAGCAGTCACAAGACTTCTTTTGAGAGGAAAGTAATACACGATTTTAAAGATTTTTTTAAGAAAAAATTTCCATTTTGATCAAAGAAATATTCATCTAACATACTCTTATGAATGGGTTTGTTATGTTACATAACTTCTCGTTCAAATTTAGTGCTCAAGTAAGAATTGACCATATATTATTAAGAAAAGATGGTTAAAAAAGGATACATCCATAGGAGTTTGGGATTAACATATACACACTACTATATATAAAATAGATAACCAAAAGGACCTAGTGTAGCACAAGGAACTATACTCAATATTTTGTTATAACCTATAAGGGAAAAGAATCTGAAAAAGTATTTATAGTTATTTATATATATATATATAATTCATGTATAACTGAGTCACTTTGCTTGTACACCTGAAACCAACACAACATTGTAAATCAACTATACTTCCGTTTAAAAAAAGAACAAAAGGATACATCCACAAGACTCCTTGAATTTATTTCAAGTCTGTGTTCTTTCACTATCACAATTCCTGTGTGTATGTGGAAAGCATCTATAATTCCTTTCATGTATGACTGCTTCTGAATTAGTTTATTTAATATAAACTCCTTGGGGATACATATAGAAATAGGAGTTTTCTGGGAACATATCACTTCCTGAAAAGTCAGTTGACTATATCTGGCTCAGAATTTTCTCTTCAGAAGGTTAATTTGTTTGGGTGAAACTGCTTTTAAAAACACCTTGAGATAACATGCCCAAAGATCTAATCCCATATGAAATGCTTCTGTGAGTGGTTAAGTTATCTGAAAAGCCTACTTAGCAATTTTTTACTCTGCTGACAAACTCTGCTTTGTTGAAACCTAATGGTAGTTACTGAGGGGTAAGAATTTCCTTTGTATCATACCAAACTTGGCTTCAAATTAAGGGTATGGAACTAAAGTGGTATCATGAGTTTGTGTGACACTCCTGGTCTTCTACTTAACTGTCAACTGAAGAATAATCTTTTATTTGTCATTTTGACCAACAATTAATTGTGTCAAATGTCCTCATACACGCTATGTTTTATTTATAATTTTATTATGCTATATTATATAATACTATATATTGTATAATATATAGTCTTTAAGTATGATACTTTATAACATGTTATACTAAACATATAAATGAGACATAAAATAGTGTGTGAGAAAATTCACCACATAATGTTATATAATATAATGTAATATAATATGCTTATTACAGAGATTACTAAGTCATCCTAAGTGTTTCTCATCTTGGATACTACTTAAGAAGAATAAAGATTTGTTGAAAAAGCTACAAATTAAGCTATTAAGTCCATTATTTCCGGCTACTGCTCAGACTCACATATTAATAAAACCACACTGTACTGAAATGATGTTTATTTTGTAAAGCTTCTGAATTTTGTTTTTGAAATGGAACTATGGCAGAAGAGCCTTAATTTGATAACCGTAATAAAATCTATTAGAACCACAGTGGTGTTAACCCAGTCCGAAGGCCTAACGAGTGCATACAAATTTTGACAAATATTATAAGAAATAACAAACTTATGGCCAAAAAACGAAAAGTCTATAACTGTTTACTTTCTTCACAAGTGTAAAGTTAAATTGAAAATGCTATAGGTCATTTCTAGGAATCCAGCAAGAAATTATTCAGTGTGCTTTTTTTGTTGACAGATGGAATTTATGTTTATAGACATTAACTATTAGAATATATAATTATATCAGAAAAATAATCTTAGATGAAGATTCCTAAATTAGATGGCAAAGGACATTTTCAATATTTTAAAATTTCATGTCATTGTACCAAAGCCAATGCTTCAGTTTGTGGAAGCACAAGTTAAAACCCTTCAGGGGATACTTACCCTTTTCTGTTCCTTTACATACTCTATCAATTCATCTCTTGTTCTCTTCACTGCCTCTTCCACAGCCTTTTCACTTCGCTTTTGCTCTTCTATTATTGCTGCCTTAACAGTTTCCTGTTTGTGGGAGGATGAAAAAAGTCAGGGAGGTATGTGCTATGACATGTTTGTGCCCATTTTATATAAACTAAAAACCCTCTTCAGTGGGTTGAGCTCATTCTTTTCAAAGCATACCTTTAAACAGGAATAAGAACTTAACGAAATCTTTTGGGTTCTGTTAGAGATTCCACAGAATTCACTTTTCTAAACTGAGTGAAAGGGAAAAGAAATGGAGTAAGCCATTTATTGCAGGGAGCGCCTGACAGACTCCAATGGCTTCCTTACCAACCTTTCATTTGATGTTTACATGATTGATTGCTTTCCTGTACTTTGCACTGTCCACATAAGACTTCCAACTTGTGTTTATTCTTCCAAGAACACCCTAATGCTCTAGGCTGTTTTATTCACATTTAATTTTCCCATCATACAATAATCAAGTGTGGTCTGGGTGGTAAGATTTACAGCTAGTTTAGTTCTTCTGCCAGGTTAAGATGTTGAGAGCTGGACACCATGAATGAGAGGTAAGAATTCTACCTTGTGTGCTAATATATGAAATGAGAAATCTAGGGAAAAAGTGATATTCCCCATTTTACTGAAATAGTAATCAAGAACCCTGAGAGAGTTCAAATTTTCAGATAAAGAGAAAGAAGGCTAAAATTCTGAAAAAGAAATATAACACTTCTCAAAAACCAGGAAATATTTTCTGCTAAAATAGCATTTCATGGACTGGAAGAATGCAACAAGCTTCTATAACTTCCATTTGTCTACAAAGGTACCATCCTTTTTTTGAACAGGCTATCAATTAGAAAATGCCTTGAAATTTCTCAGTTGTATTTCCCTTATTTTGTTATCCCTGAGGACCCTTCACTTTGTAGTGTATATATGTTTTTGTTTAGTTTTTCCTGATTAATTGCAGACACATATATATCAATATATACATATATATATACATAAAACCTAGAAAATATGAAGTAGTAAGAATTTTCTATTATGAATATATTTACTATAGAAAATTAGGAAATACATAAAAATATGAACACAAAACAAACACACACCCATACAAAATTGGGTATGAAAGGATGGGTCTCAAACTGTACATACTATTTTCTAACTCTGGCATTTTTCATTTAAAATACATTTTGAATATTTTAAAGTAATTATATATTCTTTTATGATTTTATATTCCATTACTGGGATGTATAATAATTAATTTTACTAATATTTATTCATGGATATTTTGGTCGTTTTTAATAAAGCAGTGACAAGCATCCATATATGTAACTTTGTGGTGCATATTAGATACTTCCTTAATTTCAATTCATGAGGTAGAATCATGTTGCCCAAGGGATATAATTTTTGAGCTCTCTTACAGCTTTTGACATTTTGTACAATTTTTTCCCATAAGCAGCCCATGAGAATAGCTGTTTTCTTGCAACCTTGATTACATTTAGTTTTAAAATCTTTGCTTATTTAAGGGATAATCATATCTAACTTTATTCTGCATTTTAAAAGATTATGTGATATGCAGCATTTTTCATAGAAATATTAGCAATATACATATTAGTTCTTATCATTTGCTTGATTGTGTCCTCTTCCTACTTTAATATTGGTAAACTCATAATTTTTTGGATTCCCTCCCTAATATATAAAGTTAAGTCACAAATCTCAAAAGCACTATAGTAAGACTTTGACAATTGTTACTCTTTATTTTCTATCACTAAGTACATTAAGCTTTAGTTCCATTGATGAGATAATAAAATACAAAGTTGTTTCCATGATTTTCTGAAAAGATTAAAGTCAAAAAACTATAGTATTTTTTATGTTTAATTTTTTATTGAAGCATAGTTGATTTACAATGTTTCAGGTGTATACCCAAGTGATTCAGTTATATGTATATATATATCTATTCTTTTTCAGATTCTTTTCCATTATGGGTTATTACAAGATATTGAATATAGTTCCCTGTTCTATAGAGTAGGTCCTTATTGTTTATCTATTTTATATATAGTAGTGTGTATTTGTTAATCCCAAATTCCAAATTTATGCCTCCTCCCTGTCCCCTCTGGTAACCGTAAGTTTTCTATGTCTGTGAGTCTATTTCTGTTTTGTAAATAAGTTCATTTGTATCATTTTTTTAGATTCCACATATAAGCAATATCATATGGTATTTGTCTTTCTCTATTTGGCTTCATTTAATATGATAATCTCTAGGTCCATCCGTGTTACTGCAAATGGCATTATTTCATTTTTTTATGGCTGAGTAATATTCCACATATGTACCACATCTTCTTTATCCATTCATCTGTCAATGGGCATTTAGGTTGCTTCCATGACCTGCCTATTGTAAATAGTGCTGCTACGAACACTGGGGTGCATGTATCTTTTCAAATTAGAGCTTTCTCTGGATATATGCCCAGGAGTGGGATTTCTGGATCATATGGTAACTCTTTTTAGTTTTTTAAGGAACCCTGCATACTGTTTTCCACAGTGGCTGCACCAATTTACATTGCCACCAACAGTGTAGGAGGGTTCCCTTTTCTCCACACCCTCTCCAGCATTTATTATTTGTAGACTTTGATAATGGCCATTCTGACTGGTGTGAGGTGATACGTCATTATGAAAAACTGTAGTAATTTTTGAAAAAAAAAATGAGGACAAAAAAAGACTATTTAAAATAAAAGCATCTACTATTATAATTTCTATTGGTTTCATACTTACTAATTTGGAATTCGAAAATTTTCAGATTTTATAAAGGCAAAAAGTAGTGCATATATTACTAAGCCCCCTGAAATAAAACACATTAATAGCTCTTCAGTGAAGGGTATGAATATTCACACTATGTGGGTAAATTAAAAGTATAAGTTTCACATTAGTTCAGGACAGGTTTTGCCAACAGCCAAGTTATAGAAATCCTTGGTTTTCAAGGGTTTTATAATTTTAAAACTACTGTAGACCTGGATTATTTGAATATAAAAGATAAATCCATATCATACTGAATATCAACCAGAATTTCTATCTAGTAAGGGTCATATAAGTAAATTTGACTAGATCTGTTTGGTTGAAGGCAAAAGGATCAATTTAAATAAAAGGGATATATCCAGAAAAAACATGAAGAGTTAGCTACTATGTTCTTCAGTTAACATTTTTTTTAGGGGGGAAGGGGCTGCGAGTTTACACTGTCTGCTCAGTCCACATTTTTGAGGACCCTCCTTTCCTAATTTTTGAGTTGAAGAAGAACATGTACCAAGAAAGTTTCCTTGATTCTCTCCTCCCCATTTGGGAGTTAGGTGACAGTCAAGGTTGTGAAATCCATACACACACTGTATATTTAAAATAGATAACCAATGAGTACCTACTGTATAGCACAGGGAGCTCTGCTCAATATTCTGTAATAACCTAAGTGGGAAAATAACTTGAAAAAGAATAGATACATGTATATGTATAACTGAATCACTTTGCTGTATACCTGAAACTAACACAACATTGTTAATCAACTATACTCCAATATAAAATAAAAATGAAAAAAAAAAAGAATAAATACTACTTGTCAATAAGTATCTTTGAATATCATACAGAAGTAAAGTTTAAGGGGCTTCCCTGGTGGCGCAGTGGTTGGAAGTCCGCCTGCCGATGCTGGGGACACAGGTTCGTGCCCCCGTCTGGGAAGATCCCACATGCCGCGGAGCGGCTGGGCCCGTGAGCCATGGCCGCTGAGCCTGCGCGTCCGGAGCCTGTGCTCCGCAACGTGAGAGGCCACAACAGTGAGAGGCCCGCGTACCGCAAAAAAGTAGTTTAAGTCTTCCATTTTCTAACCAGCCCAAATTCTCAATTACTTAGAAATGATTAATGAATTTTGTGTGCATATTCAGGTGTGTGTAAATATCTGCCTGCATGTTTTGTTGAATTCCATGAATGAACTAAATTGTCCCTATGAGTCATGAGGGTTAGTCTAAAATAAAATATACCTCACAAGAGATGAAGACTTGACACCAATGAGTATATTCAAACAAGATAATTCTGAAAGAACATTTTCCGGAATATTTTAGTAATGTCCAAACCCCTGGGATGTGATATATTCTCTAGGGCAGGGTTTCTCAACCTTGGTACTACTGACAATTCCTTGCTGGGGGTGGAGGCGGGAGTCCTGTTATAAGCAGCATACTTGGCATCTGCTCACTGGATCCCCTCCAGGTGAGAAGCACTGCTCTAAAATAAACAGTTTGGAGGGAAAACTATCCATTTGCATATGTGTTATGGTTTGTTAAAATATATGTTAACACTTCTCATCATAAATATTTTTTTGTCTAAAAATAAAAAATGTGCAAGAAATCACATCCAAACGATTATATAACTAGTTTTTAAGTGTGGAAGAAAGAGTTCTACATACTTATTTTTAAAAAACGAATGACTGGGATCAGTTTCTATACTGTTACAATTAAATATGACATGATGAATGTCATTGAGGGCTAAAAGCTTATATAACATTTTGTATAAGATTTAAAAATTTCTCCTCATTGCTTAAAAGTATAGTTATGCTTTAGTATCCATTAAATCCACCACACACTTCAGTAAAAATGGGATCGTGACTTAATAAACGGTCTGAGGTTGTTCTTTATCAGTGCGATTTAGTTAAGGATTGTAAACACAGTTAAATTATTTATGGGAAACAAATCACAGCAATCAATTTAATTTTGATCTTTGGGCAGTAAAACACAGTATCAAAGATTTTTCTAGGGCAACAGCGCACTTAATTTTTGTTTCTATAAATGACATATGCATATTATCTAATTATGTATTATTTTAAAACTTGCACGTAGTTGTGGAAATGTACCTTAGAAAATGAGTGTCTGAATCATAAGTAAAGTCAAGCTGCTGTATGCACTTCCTGTGCATCAACAGTTAAAAAAATGAAGTGAGACTTCTATTCCTACATGAATTTACAAGCTCACACTACAGCTTCATCAGTGCTTTTCACACATTGATCCAACTGCAAATGGAATTTCCACATTTCAAAATCC